GAGCGGTTTATTTTCCTCCTTTGTTTTGTTTCTTCTAGCATATAGTCCAGAAGAAAAAAACTAGATGTCTTTCCTGATTCAGCACACCCACCCTTTTACAATTAATATCCTCACAGTTTAGATACTATTTCTCAAGAATCCTTACCCAAAGGGAAGCAGCCTTTCGCTCAGCTGCAGTACCAACTTCTACAAGTTTTGTAGCATCTGCATAAGATCGTTCTATCAAACACACCCTTCGGAAAGGAAGGATTTTAGCTTGCTCTCTGCATGCAGTGCCTGACTCGAAGCTGCTCTTCATTCTTCAGGTTTCTTGCCTGTTCTTGCTAACACCTGGGGCTTCAATATTTTGCAAAAACAGGGGGAAAACGGGTATGGGCAAAGCCATAACCGAACACAAAGATTTGAAGAGATTACTAAAAATACAAGATTCTGAACCAGGGATAACAGCATCTTTAACAAAATTAAACAGATAAACTTTGCTGCAAATTAAAAACAATTCTCTTGTATCCGAGCCCATAATGACTATTTTGAATACAGATATTTACTGCTGCCAATAAAGAAATTTTTTGGTAAGTTTTCTGTTATTGGGAAGAGCTTGAATACAATCCAGTCCAAAAAAATGCTGACTTTCCTAAATAGGGGCTGTGTTTTTGCAATAAAGAATACTGGTCAATATACAAGTGAAGGAAAACTGAACCAGATGTCAGTAATAGGACCACAGAACGTTGCATTTGCCCAGAATCGCTATTTTAAACACACGATGTTGGTCTACTGGTTTGTGGGATAATACATTCTTGGCAGCCAGAAGGAGTTTCGATATGTTAGAAGGTTATCCTTGAGAAAAAAAAAAAAAAAAGGAAAAAGAAGGAAAGAAGCAGAAGAGGTAGAGAAAGGCCACTAATTCATCGAGTTCCCCATAGCAGAAAAAAATTATAACTTACTCAGGAAACCAGTTCAAAGAAAAGCCAGTCTCAAAACAGAAGGCTTGGTTTTTACATTAATTTTCATTTTCTGCTTTACTTCCTTACTGCTAATACTTCATTGTACTTTGCCTTTTTTTTTTTTTTTTTAAGGATTCTTCCCTCCATACACCCTCAATTTCTGGGCAAAAAGTCGAAGGAAAAACTTGTGAGCTTTCACCTTGCAGCTCGAGTGCAGTCAGAGCGATGGGTGGGGGAACCACAGCGACCGCACACGCAACCCAAACCCCACAGAACTCAGCCCTGAAAACTTTGCACGTTGGAAACCTTTCCTTACATGAGGATCCTCCTGCCACCACTGGGATTACGGGAAGAAGCTCTTCACCGGATCAGGCCCCACTGTCCCAGAATCACCACAAGCAGCCCTGGAAGCCATATGCACACAAATAACATTAACCCAGGTCCCTGACCATTGCCAATTAAGTACTTACCCATATCTAAAATGCTTTCTAGTTCAGAGGCACAGGTATTTGGGATTAGGGTTTTTTTGGGGGGGTACCTTCTATTTCAGAAGTAGTTACATCCGTGTGCCTTAATATAGAAACAAAACTTCAAGATGTACTTTGTATGTTTGGTGAACAATCACTTCCCTGTTTTACCACGTAGTAAATTTAAAAATCAACTCTGTTCATTGTAACAAACCCTCCTCTGAAAGATAATTAAAACCACTTCCCAATATACAACCAAAGTTTTATTTTTATAGTCTATCTTCCATTATGGCATAATCCTTTCTTTTTTTTTTTTTAAAACCAGTGAAATATACAAATCACGCAAGACAGAAATATGTACATTAAATGTACAGAACAGAGGAAAGGACATAGAAGATTTACATATCTGAATGACAAGTAAAATATTTTACATTAAATAGTGTTTTAATAGCTAGGATCATGAGATTCAGTTCTGCTCAGACAAAAGTCACTAAAAAGGAACATGAGGTGATTCAGCAAATGAAAAGAAAAATGATCATGGTTTTTGTACAATAAAAACCAAAGTGACATACTCAATGAATTAGTGCTTTATTTATTTATCTTACTTTAAAAGATATTCTTTGCAAACATCTGAAGATGAGGGGTAAATATGTCCTTGTACAATAAATTAAGAGCAATAAAGCGCCATTTAAGAAGCTGATAAATGATCAAGATGAACTTAATGATACAGCTTAAAGGCTCGTGAAAAGTTAAGGCTTTAGTACAACTAGGCTAAAGTGAAAGATTTTCCTCTCTTGGTATTGGCAAAACCGTTTTCTTTAACTTGTTGGATGGGACTGAGTTGGAAAGAGGCATCTGAACCAATGACGGAATGCTGTGTAACGACACAGCACTGGGGGGAACGCATATTGTTCAACAAATAACAATTTCCCTTTCAAAAACTGAAAAGCCAGGGCCAAATGCAGCACGTTTTAGAGTTGGAAGGTGTCTCCTTTCAGGAATAATCAAGAATGCCCTTAACATGACAGTGGAATAGAAGCGATCTCCAGACCAGTATCAATTCAAGTGCAGGGTGCTGCCTCTACCAACCGCTCAAGAAAGTCCTAAAGCTGGGAAGAGGCTTACTTCTTTGTGATCATCCTTAACGCTTTTAAATGAAAAAAGCTTTTCAAAAATAATTAAAAAAAAAACAACACCAAAAGGTTAGAATCGATCTAAAAACCTGAAGAGACCTGAAAAAGAAAATGGGGGATGAACTGCCCCTGTAATTTAGACATTTTATTATTTCTTAAATCATTAAAATAGATATGTACAAAAAGCTTTGAAATATCAGACACCAGCAGACCACAGTTCTCCCCATATATATGTAACTGCTCAAGTATAGTCTGAACAGTTGTAGTGTATATCTGCAATATATTATCTAAAGCATGTGTATTAAAGACATAGGATGATAAATTTGGTATTGCTGCAACATTTCATTGAACTATAATAGTCAGCTAATGTTATTAAAATATGAAACTATTGTCTCCTTGAGTGAAAGCGTCCCCAAAATCTGCAAAAAAAAATAAAAATCAGTCATTCCAAGAGTGGATATCTAATGATTTATTTTCTCACATAAAATTAGAGGAGTTATTTGTCAAGCTGTGTTTTGAAAGACAGCCAGCTATTACACCATTTTTAAGGCATTTTCAAATTTGGGGAATTCTATTTTCTATGGGCTTTCCAGGCTGGGAGACCGAAACTGTTTGCAAGCATCGCAGCTCCCCTCCTACAGCGCCCCGGGCAGCCCGCACCTCGGCCGCTCTCCACACTGGGTAGCAGCAAAGCACAACTCTGTAAGATGAGACACTCGAACGTCACAATTAGCTAAGGCGGCCAAATTCTGCCTTGAAGAATATTATTCGTCAAGGTAGATTTTTTTTTCTTTTTTTTTTTTTTGGTCTTGTTAGGTTCTGGAACCAGACACGGTGACTCAGGAATGGCGCAGCTGAAGCCTTTATGATCCTTTGCTCTTTACCCTCCGATGACATTGCGTACTTAAGCGGGCACGTTCAGATATGCGACTGACACTGCACTTTGTGATGAATACACCCCTTATTTACAGAGCCCTAAATGTACCCAACGGCTTTATATATCCTATTCTGGTAACTTCTACTGTCTGAAACTAAAAGTCATGGACAGGTCTGTGTGTTCCTCACATCCATAAGGATTGTTCTAACATCCCAAGCACATTACATGGTTGCTCTGCCTACTGCACATGTATTACGTCCCATGGGACTAAATTAGGATATGTTGGATTTTCCCCTCAAACTACTCTATTGTTTTTAAGAAAAGTCAATTTTTTTTTTTTACTTTGTAAAATAAATATTCTCAGGTTCTCCCCCATTATTGCCAAAAATAGAAGCCGCACACAGTTCTGGGATGGACGCAGAGAGGGTTTCCAGGCACTTCTCTTTGCAACCTTTATACTTTTCTTTTTTCTTTCTTTTTTTTTCCCTTCCCCCCCCCCTTTTTTTTTTTTTTTTTCCCTTCCCCCCGCCCTTTTTTTTTTTCTTTTTTTTTTCCCTCCCCCCCCCCCTTTTTTTTTTTTTTTTTCCCTTCCCCCCGCCCTTTTTTTTTTTCTTTTTTTTTTCCCTCCCCCCCCCCCTTTTTTTTTTTTTTTTTCCCTTCCCCCCGCCCTTTTTTTTTTTCTTTTTTTTTTCCCTCCCCCCCCCCCTTTTTTTTTTTTTTTTTCCCTTCCCCCCGCCCTTTTTTTTTTTCTTTTTTTTTTTTTTAAAGAAGACGACAACTCGTTAGACTCTATAAATAAAGTGGAGATAGTCCTGCGGGAAGGGAGAGGGGCCTGCACCCCTTGCTGGCAGGTGGCTGCAGTTCCTCCCACCTCATCCGTCCCCTATTTGCACACAAATTGGTCCACGATCTCTGTGCACAACTTGCATTTCACGTAGCAGCACCAGTGGAACTTGCAGTGGCAGCGCTCTCGCTGCACCGTCTTGAACTGGTCGTAGCCCCGGCCACAGCACATGAGTTCGCAGCCGTCCATGCCCTCCGAGGTCTTATTGCAAAGGCGGCCCTGGGTGCCCAGGGACCCAGTGCTCTCGTTGCGCACGCAGTAGTCGGGGCTGGGATCGATGTAGACCAGGTCGTGGATGGTGGGTGCGTTGAAGCGGCTGTTCACTTGCACCAGCTTGCCCCGGCTGTTGAGTTTCATGGCAGCGGCGCTATCGTATTTCTCCTTCAGGGCATCGCCTACCTTGCGGAAATCGGCAAGCTGCAGCCAACAGGTCTTCAGGCTACAGGAACCAGAGACACCGTGGCACTTACAGGCCACGTCAGCCAGGTTGTACACAGTCTGGAGGAGCCAGGGAGAGAAAGCAAAAAGGATGATGAAAGATCAGCACGGCTGTGAAAGCATTTATTCCCCTCGTTTCCTGCCCTCTGTCGCATTCCTACTCGCCCCTCCGCAATATTCGCCTCAGCATCCTCTTCCCTCCTGCACTACGCC